TATGTGTTGACTTCTGTACGTGCATCTATGTAAAATGATCAACTGACATAAATGTCTATGCTCACTTATAATTTTTCATAAAGAAATGCATTATTATCATCGTCTTCATATATGCAATTATTAATATATCTGTTTATATTTATACTTATGCGATCACTTGAACATAATTTTTTCTTTTCTTGTCTGTTTTAATGTTGTTTTCTCTATGTCTAAATTATCTGATTGGTTTATTCCTATTGGTCAATGATCATTTTTGTCTTGTAACAAAGAAAAGAACATTGATAGAAAAGGAAAGAAGAACATAAATTCGATTCACTTGAAATATGGATGATCCAATTGTAATATTGAGTCGCCTCTTCGCACAGCACAACTCAAAACATTTTACACTATAAACGAAATCATAGTAATAAAAAAAAACGATCCTCTGATTTCGAGCAATTTACACGTTTGAGAATTTTTCATTTAAATAAATTATTTGTGTAATTTACTAGTACGGTCTACCTCGTCTCTTACATATCTCTGACTGAAATGAGCATGACACCAGATTTTTTGTCAATTTATTCGAAACAACATTGAGTATTGGATCTTATAATGAAATTTAATGTTGACGACTAATAATATCTAACACACACGGAGACGTCAGTGATAAATTATAGCAGTTCGCTTCAAAACAAAGAAATCTGTTTCATATCCTGTTTTGAATAAAACAGTGAGACATGTCTTAAGTCTATTTTAATAAAATTCTGTCTTTTGACGAGTAACGTACATGAGCGGTTGATATAAGTGAAAAAGTATACGAATAGTCATTATATAGAGGATACACTGAGTAAAATATGTACGATATCTCTTGTACGAAGAAGTGAATAAATGAAAAGACGAGTTGAATATTTAGAAAACTTAGTACATAGATTAATCATTCGTTTGCTGATGAAATATTTCATGAGATATTTCTCCTTTTTTAGACGACTACTATAGTCAATTACTGACATTTCGGTATACATTAAGTATCTTCACGTTCATATGTGTGACATAAACATAAGATCTAACTGACAATGTTGTTTCAATTAAATTCAAAAAATCTGCACGTATCGTTTAGATGAGAATATGCTATTCTTTATGATTTAAAGTATTTCATAGAATTTTCACCTTATCTATCCAACACAATCGCATAATTTTTTGCACGATATTTTAATTTCTTAATTCCAAAATAGATTCTGTGTAGTTTCATTTAAATCATTTATTGATCTCTATACAAGGTGTCCGAAAGGTCACTTTACACTTGGTATTGTATTTAACATATATCTTCAATATGAAGACCTTTAATTTTATTCATATACATACTTGTACTCAGGAGTAAGATACATATAACCACTAATATTCTTGCTTTCGACAGTAATTATTTCTTGAAGAAAAATACAAATATATTTTGTTTACTCTTGTATGATTGTAACAAAATTTAGTTGTCATACTGATTCACTAAAGTTTCTAGTTAATTAGAAAGTTTAGTGAATCAGCATAACAACTAAACTTTCTTACAATCATACAAAAGTAAACAAAATACATTTGTATTTTTCTTCAAGAAATTATTGCTGTCGAAAGCAATTATATTAGTAGTTATGTTTCTTACTCCTGAGTACGAGTATATATATGGATAAGATTTAGGTTCCATATATTGAAGATCTATGTTAGATACGATACCAAGTTTAAAGTGACTTTTGGGACACCCTGCAATGCATAAAAATGGTTTGACTTCTATACATTATTTTTTGTAAACGCTGAATCATTTTATCGTCATTAGATTAACCATTTTAATGATTAATCAGAAAGCATTTCACAGGGTTGTTTGTGACAGTTTTTTGCCATTTTAATGATGTAGATTTTCGATCATTTTAATGCCATTTTCCCGTTGCAAATTTTGGCTGGGTAGTGAAGCCTGACAACCCTTTGCTGTGGAAACCTTGAGAGAAGGAAGAACTGCCCTGTGTTATACATACCGAACGTTCTCTTGAAACAATATCATAAACATCAGTCTGATCAGATCCAAAGCAGTTCACGAGAATCCAATGGGGATCTACGGAGATTCGTGGAGATCAGAAGATTTGCTTTTCTCCCTAGAAGTATTGAAAGGACTTTTATCTGTTGTTATTTAGCTTACATCGTCAGATGAATATATTACGAGTCTCTGACTTGGGATGTCTTTGGATCCTCACCAGAGCTTAAACAGCAGCTGGAAAAATCTCCAAATTGATCAAATCGATTGAACGAAATGAGGATTTAATTTAACCGATCATGGAGGATGAACGTGTGGGTTAGCATACAAGCAAAGTCATAGTGTGAAATTTCCTCAAATGAGTTTTCTCGTGTTTCTATGAGAAACCGCTAAGGGTGAGATCAGGGATAAGTGTGACGGAAAAAGTGACAGTGACGATTAGCTTGGGCCTAAGGATCTTAACATCATTGTCAAAGACTATCTGTAGGCTGATTCTAAGTTACCTCTAAGAGTGGTAGAAACTCATGCTGGCTGTTTCAAAAGCTGTTGAAAAAGTCACTCGTCAGACTCTCGAAGATAGTTGGCAAAAGCCCTTGAAAACACACTTTTCAAGGAGCATGCTACTCTGATGCCATTTGCTATGTCCCATACAATGCTTCTACAGAAATGAAAGCGAAGCATACAAAAAATAATGATTACATACGACTCTGTGTTGTCCATGCTTGTACATTATTTTACTCGATGTCTGGTGAAGAATAATTTCAACACATCTATTTCTGAAGACCAAAATGAACTACCATGGCTTTCCTTATCCAACATACGGTAATCGATCTCCTTATAGTAAAAAAAATCGGGAACGATCCTTATTCGACCTTCTATGGCAATGACTCGTCAGTTGTTGTGAGCACAAAAAGCATGATACAGTCTTTTTATTCTTTTCTAACTGTACATTCCTCTCATCTTACTTAAACGTTAGAATGACACTGAGTGAGATCGTCTTCTATGATCCTATGCTTGATTAAGACCATGAATGAGTCACTCATGAATGTCAAGCGAGATGTACACAAACTTCATTTCATCATTCGATCAGCTTCATATAGGAGCAGTGCTGTCAAATTTTTGAAGAAAAGCCCGAGTTTTTCCTTAGAAGCCTTGGGGAAAATCATGTTTCTTCGACTCTCGTAACGTAGGTCATAGACCTTGGCCGCCTTCGCAACCGGCACATCCGTTTTATGCTCATCCATATCAAACAACGGCAACCCCATATCTATCATCCAAAATACACAATTCATCCCAATTTTATCCAACACAATTCCCAACTCATGTAAGCTCATGGCATTGTCAGCCCTCGTCGACGTGGTATCCACAACCTATAGCAACGCCTCCGATAGAACGCGCTAATCCGTTTGCAACAGTCGCTGATAAGCCGGCAGAGACTATGTCTCGATATCCGTGTCTATTTTGCGGTTATCCGTTAGATATCGAAGCGAATGCTTCGGAAAGATGCTGTGAATGCTTCCATGAGCTTTTGCTCGTGTTGTGAGTTCTGGAGTCGTTGCTGCGGTTCATTGGGCAATATCTGTATGTTATGTGAGTGTCTGGCGTGCTGCAGCTCGCAAGCACATGTACGTTTCGATGACAAAGTATCAAGTGTTCCAATTGAAAATCTTCTTTCAGGCACCACAACACTGATGCCCACAGTGTCACAAACTAGTTGGCATACCCAAAAAGCATAAAAAATGAATCGTATATTTGATAGGTGTGGTTCAGCAAGTTTCAATAAAATGATTGTGCGTGCACAGTTCCTACTTGACTGACAAGGGAGGGTGAGGGTAAGGGTGAGGGTGAGTAGATTAGCCTCCTCTGCAATATGGATTTTGAGGAAAAGCATGTGAAACGGATTATCTAAAATAGATGGCAGTAATTGAAGACTTGACAATCCGAAGTGTTGTGACGCGTCTACAGTCAGCAAAGACTTCGTTAATCGTAGAGTATGTTTCGGTTCTAAGAATTGAGGAACAGATTTCAAACCGAAGCAAATAAGCGATTTCCGTAGCAAACGAGTTTGTTACTGATCAAACTTCCCATTTACAGAGAGCGATAATCGAGAAATGCAGGATGAATCTTAACAGTTGCTTTGATATCTAAAACCCAATTGATGTCCATGTGAATAAGGATCTAGATGCAGTAGAGGCTGGTTGTGAGTAGCGAACCTGAGGGACGCTGACGAATGACTAGCTTCTCAATAACGAATCCTATCGATGGCATGTTTTCCATACAGTGTGCTTAATATCTTGTCGACAAACGAAAAGCACCGAAGAGAGATTACTTCTTTCATGAATATTATGGAAGAGAGTTTTTGGGATCATACTAAATTTTATTTCACATGCACAGTCTTTTCTGAACCGTTGTGTATTTCGTATGAACACAAGTTTCATATTCTGTGAACTATCATGGATAGAAACTTGAGATAGTCGCGATTGATAGGAACAGAGTTGTGGGTTAATATTGGCATCTAATCTGTACGTCTACATATTCTATTCGAAACAGTCGCTCTTGGAGACATGTCAAAGGTTTAGGATTGGTCGTCTGCAGTCGAGAGTTCAGTGAGACTGAAGGTCGAACGCTACTTGTTAATATTTCTTGTGGATCTGGATGTTAATAAATAGATTTATTTGCAGTGACTTTTCTTTAACTACGATGTTTAAGACGACAAAGAACGGGTTTACATTTTTCAGCATCATTTGTTGCTTGTCCAGTTAAACAAACCGTGAGTGAAAGTGTTTTAGGTTTTTTAGAAACATTGATGATTTTTTGAGACGTGGAACACCTCAAGAGACAGTTTTAGCTGAAACACCGGCATAATGAAATGTATTTAATGTCATTTGTGTTGCTGGTTCACCAAGTGATTGAGCAGCTAAAGCATCAGCCATTTCTCCTGCTTGAGAACTTGTGCCTGCTGAAAACGTGTTTCAATTTCACCACAAAGCCAATGAAAAGCTACATCAGTTCAATGATGCATTTCTAAAACTTGTCTTGATGAAAGTGTTGAACGAAGAAGAATTTCCATTAACATTGTTGCATTTGATTGAGCTTCTAATGATAAACTATCAGAACCTTTGACAATGACTAAACGTTCCGTTAAATTTCGAATTCCACGAATCACTTCAGATGGAGATAAATTTGATTGACTTCGTCGGTTAGAAATATGAGAAGTTTTTTTTTGCAATATAAATCAATCTTTCAAGATTACCTGGCAAAACTATTTTTGATGGATCATCTGTTGGAAAAATTTCTCTGCAATGTTCTCAATCTTCATTTAATTGTTTCCATTCTTCATCGAGAAATTCAAAACTTTCATATGAATGTAAGTCGCACGAATAACATCATCTGTTAAGTATTTTCTTCATGATTTTTCATTTTGTGTTAAATCAAATTGCCAAAGACGTTCAAATAATTGATTTGGTGGTTTTAATGAAATAATCGATGGAAATCCCACATTTTCTCTGACTAAACCATCTTCACCATATGCAAATTAAATTAATTGTTCAATTTAATTTCGAACAGTTCCATCATATTTCAGCGTAACAGATTCCATCGCTTTGATTAAACGTCGTTGAATGTAACCAGTTGCAGCTGTTTTCACAGCTGTTTCGATCAAACCTTCTCTTCCATCCATTGCATGAAAATTAAATTCCACTAGTGTTAAACCTCGAAGATAAGAATTTTCAACAAAACCTTTTTGCTTCAGGTCCATAATCATCTTTTATCAAAATAAGTAATGTTCGATGTTTAAAACTGGAAGGAATTCGTTTTCCTTCGACGTTTTCTTCTCCAACACAAGCAATGACTTGAAAAATATTGATTGATGAACCTTTTGCACCATTAACAACCATAGCTTTACATTGATCCAAATCTGTAAGAGATTTTTGTGCTGATAAACCTGTGTTATCACGAGCGTTGTTCAATAAACCATTGGCCGAATTTTCAAATGTTCGTCGTAAAGGATTGCCTAGTGACGGTTCTAAAATTTTTTGCTTTTGTAATTGCTGCTTGAATAGTTTCATAAGTATTTTGATCAACAATACCAATGGAATGTTCTTTTAACATTAACCGATTATTGATCACCAACTGAATATGATAATACAATTTTTCAATTTATACTTCATGATCTCATTCCATAAAGACAATATGAAGAATTGAACCAGCACTGGTTCCTAGAGTTTTTTTTTACATAAAATTCCCGCTAAGAGACGACCATTTTCGTTAAGAACCTTCATATCTCCAGGTGAAATCCACTTGAATGGCCCAGAATCTTCATCATCGAAATGTTGCCCGCGTGTTCGAACATGATTGACTTCTTTCGGTAAAATCAATGAAAATCATTGTTTTCCTGTCCATATAGGTTTTGGTTTGAGGATGGCTGCTTGTGGAATATGTCCATCACATGATGGTAAATGCATGAATCAATGCAAAAAATCTCCTTTTTCAATGAATACATCTCGTTTGATCATTTTTCTCACTGCTGTGAGAGTATCTTGCACAATACCCATCACAGGTCGATTCGATTGTGGTGTGATGATTAAACGTCGAACCATCATCAATTCACTCAATTCTGCTTTGGTTTCCACGGATTGTGGCAAATGCAAATTTATTTCATCACCATCAAAATCGGCATTGTACGGTGCGATGACACTCAAATTAAAATGACATGTAGGCCATGGTAAAACTTTGACACGATGTGACATCATCGACATTTTAGGGAATGTTGGTTGACGATTGAAAACAACTAAATCATCATTCATCATGCGTCGTTCCATAATATAACCACATTATCCCGAATGATGTATTTAGCTGCATGTCGACGAATTCATTCTTGTAACCCTTCAATATTGAATGATCTGATGATTTCATGAACAGTTAAATTTGGCACAATGATTTGTGGAACACCAACTTGATCAAGAGCTAAATTGAATCAGGTGCAATCACTGTTCATACACTGAATTCCACGCGTTTTGCGATCAAATTGCCACGAATTCGTTGTTAGTTGCCTTTTAAACGAGCTTTGATCGATTTCAATGGACGACCCGATTTGTGACACGGTTGAGACATTTCTGGCATGTTAGTATCAATGAATGATGCAAAATAATATTGCAATAATTGTCAATGATCATCGAACATACCTGATGCAGCTCCAGGTTGTTCATCTTCACGTAATTGTCGATTGGCTTTGAGAATATTGGCTAAATTATAAGTTAAATCATCTTGACTTCTGACTGTATGACCAATAGAATCTTCCAATGCTTGAAAGATTGTCAAAACATGTTGAGCTGTTAATTTCATTGTTTGTTGAGAGAAAAAAAAGAAAAACCAAATCAAACCTTGGCAATTCTTGTGTCCTTTACAGAGATCATAAATACAGTAAAACCTCTCTCACTGAACATCTCACCTTTATGAACAATCTACTTATCTGAACACCCTGAGGATTCCCCGAGCTCATTTTGCTGGTTTTGAACCCCTCCTTTATGAACACCCCTTCATTCTGAATGTGAACGCATTTTTATGGTCCCGACTGTATGTATCAACCTCGTTAATATGAACAGCAGCAGAGGGCGTCACATTTCTAAAACATGTATCTAGCGCTGTGATGGTAATTATCGTGAATTTCATTCGTTCAAAAGTTGTGTACAATGAAAATGAAGAAGAGGAGAGGAGAGAAGAGAACAAAGAAAAAAAAGACAGTTGTTATTTATCTTCATCAATCGTTACCTAAATATGGCATCTCGGAAT